TGCCTCCAGTACTAATCGTCTTTTTGAATTATCACTTCAAAACATCTGTTATTTCAATACTTATCAGCAGGATATCAACATTGTAGGAGATCCCAAGTAAAAATAGATTAACTGCTGTCTGGCAGTTAAAGTATATAATATAGTGTTTGCATACATGTTTACACATATGCATATGTGTTTGTATGTATGGACATACACTATTGAAGGGCGTGCTTGTTTAAAGACAGTTTAGTGTATTTATCATCAAATACTTCACTTACACTGATGCATTATTTTGAGATATCCCCAAAAACTATAACAATAATCTTCCTCTTTATCATGATCCCATTTTAAATAATGCTATTCCATGTCTTTCCCTTGAAAACTTGAACATATATGTATATTTATACTTAAAGAATCTTTTGACTTTCTTTCTACACTGAATGTGGAAGGATTATTCTGAAGAAAATATGATTGAAAGAAGAATTTGATTAATTGGCTCTTTGAACATTTCTTCCAATCAAGATATTTTAATTGATTTCTGTTTTCAGACAATTTCCAAGTTACATAAGGAGTTCAGTCATGTTTCTCTGGCTAGGTATATAATGATTTTAGGTTATCTTCATTAGAAGTTCCTGATTCATGCTGTGTACCCTTAAATAGAATGCATTGAAGCATAAAAATTTGTTGACTTTTTCCCATGTAAGCAACAGAAAGACCTTGGGTTCTTGGGTACTTTCTAGCTATTTCTAATAACACTTTATAGTCTGGTGCTAAGTCAATAAATACTGGTATTAGAGAATATTATTTAGATTCTGATGTTCCTTAAATAATATGTATATGTATACACACATACATGTGTTTGTGTGTGTGTGTTTATATTCAATGGATTCTCATTTGTAGGAGGGGCTGAGGTGACTAAATTTTCTCAGCACTTGGAGAAAAGAAGGTTTCTTAACAATTCCCCTAGATTGTACTCACCATCAAATTGGTACTAACTGATCAACACTAGGGTGCTCACATGGCAGTAATACTCTCCAGGGATTAGGGGGATGAGGGGTAAACCCACAACTAAAGGATACGGGGAGCATTGTAGGGGGGAAGGGCATGCCTTTAACCTTCTCTTGGGTGAGGCAAAGACATAAAGTGTAACTAAAATGTGTGTACCCTCATAATACCCTGAAATAAAAAAAACCAAAAAACAAAAAACAAAAAACAATTCCCCTAGATCTTAGCCAAAGCACATAGATAGAAACACACTTTCCATTTAAGCCCGGTCCTAGGCCTAAACAGATCTTGATTTTAAACCACCATTTCTTTGCCAAAAAAGTGACTTTACCAAGCCATTGTTTGCAATTTGGCTGAAATTCATTCACAACCATGCTCTGTCCTAGGCCTTTGCACTTGAGATTACTAAAGCTCTGTCCTAAAGCATCATGAGTTTGCATACCACTCAGGAAATCCTGGTGAGCTATGATGAAGGATATACCTTTAGTCAGAGGAAACCCATTCCCTGTTGTTGAAATGTATTGGACTGCATGAGGATATCGTTTGTGAAAAATCAAGTATGTATTTGAATAGAAAATGGATTTATATGGATGGTGACATTGCAGAGATTGTTTTTAACTTTTTTTCACATTTTTCTAAGTATTCTAAACTTGTATTATGAAGATTTTTTTTTTTTACCAACACTATATATTATATTGACCTCAAGCTTATCCTAAAGCTTTTGAATATCTTGAAGTAGCATTCTCAAATAATTTTGGGAAACACAGAGGTAAAACATGATTTCTTATAGATGTTAGGATGTTAATGTTCATTGTGAATCTTCCACAGGGATAGATAATAAGTGGGGTTTTCCAGCCATAAAAACTTTAAATTCCACTGGACACTCAGTAACAGGCTGATGACAAATCAAAGAGAATTGTTTGGGAATGTGGGAAGGGAGATATATTAGAAGGGAAAGTATGGAGAGTGATTGTTCTCCTCCTCTAATTATCCAATAGCTCCGAGTTCCAGATGGTGTGCAGAGTTTGATTACGCTCTGCTTCTTCCCCTTCTTATGCCTTCACTCACCCCTTCCATTTAGTAGTTCACTAGTCACGGCAAACCCCCACTGGCATCCTTCAGTTTTGAGACTTGGAAATTTTGCTACCTGAAGTGTAGGGATTGTGAGTATGTTTGTAGGAAAAAAATATAGAAGAACAAATAGAGAGCAAAAATCAGAAACTCTTTAAGGACATGTCTACGATTAACATACAGGGTGAGAAGGTCATTCAAAAGATTCATGATATGGAGGCTCTTGGTCAGGGTACTTGCCTTGGAATGTTGCAATGGTGAGTTTTGGGGAATCTCAGGGGCAAGTGGCTAATACAAAATAAGATGAAGTCCCTAAAGATGATGCACTGGTATGATAAATAAGTTTAGGGAAAAGAACATTTGAAGGGTAAAAGCAATATACTTAAAAAATATGGTTATAGTCATTTATGTGAATTTCTTTCCATTTATGCCTAAACTTCATATGACACAGTAGCAATTATGCATGGCAATAAACGTGTGTAAACTTAACCATGTTTTGTGTTCTATTTTATTGGTACAATAATCTTTATAAATAGGCTTTTAGGATTTTAATTTGTTTCTTATGTAGCATGGGCATCTACTAACAACCTAAAAACAGCAGAGGGAAATGACACCATGTATTTGGCAAGTGGACACCTCACTTCTTCGGGGATCTTTATCATGCTGGATAATACAGATTGGTTGCTCCTAAAACACCTGGTGAACCAGTTTTGTAAAACTAGCTACCTTAGGAAATTACCTTAAAGTGCAGAAATTATGCTCTCTGTACACTCAGGAATTATATAATGGTGATAAAGGACCCAAGGAGAGCTGACCTTGCCTGCCAAGTGTATTCAAGTGTGCTGATGGGGATTAGCAGATATTCCCTAAATGAACATGCATCTCAAAAATATAAATAAAAATAAAAAGAACTAATATTATTTTGATTGCACATTACTAAGTTTGATAAGATAGTCACCGTAAATCTTATACTTTATAATCTGGAGAGAACCAAAAATGAACCTCGGAAACAAAGTGAAGCTGAAAAAGCATAACAGGAATGTCTGCCCATATTCAGATTTATGTAGAAAGATAATTTAGATATTGATTCTCCTTGATCACAGAGTTTTGAGAGCATTTAATTACAAGACATAGACCTATAAATAATAAGAAATAAAATTATTTCCAACCTGGTACACAAAGAATTTGGGGTGAAAATATGCTCAAGGCCTTACTCTTTGTTGTCTTTCTTTTTATACTTTTTTCATGACAATATATATTTTATTATATTGAAGAAAATCCAATTGATAGCTTCTTTGCTTGATCCAGAAAGGAACATACTGGTAAAGAAAAGTAAAAAGTTAACTCATTTAATATAATAAATTCTAGCTGTTGTGAATAGATAGAATTTTCTTTTTATTATTGTTTTTAATTAAAAGGTAGTTCTGACATTGTATTCAAGTGTCAGCTGTTGATAGAGTCTTAAGAAATAACAGATGTTTTAATTAAAAAAAAGAATTAGTGCAATAAAAAACATACATGGAGAGAGAGAGTGTGGGAGAGAGAGGTGGATATATTGGAGAAACGGCTGCTGCAAGTGATGAGAACAGGGGTGTTATAAGAGGAGTATGGGTAAGACAGCTGAGACTTACCCACTGTCAACTGTGTCTCTTGTGCTACACACAGTTGCTGCAGCACATCAAAGCTGAGGTTGGAAGCGGGTCCTAAAAGCACAATATTTTATTTTCTTTTTCACCAGCTATGTCCTCATATTGAACTTTTTAAAGGGTAAACTCCAGATAATTCTTATGTCAAGGGAGTCATTTAAGCCTTTTGGAGCCAATGAATTTTCTTGCAAAAACAACCTCTCAAAAATTGTGTTTGCTATTGAAGGCAATATCTCCAACTTCAAATTACTTTATCAACTGAGTTACACATTATGTGTAGCATATAACATGACTCCTAGAGAGAAATTTATATGAAACTACTAACTATTGAATTGCTGAGAGAGAAAAAGCAGCGCTTGATTTTTAAAAGAATTTATTATTGCATATAGTGGATCACATTTTTAGTGTACCGTGCCAGAGATACAAATGCCTTGATGAATGAAATAAACTTCTTAAGATACTGGACTGCTATTTCTCAGAACTAAAGGTGAAAATTATAAAGTCATAATTTTTATTTTCATCCCTCAACAAATTGTTTCCTTTTCTGCAAGCAAGGTTTTTCTATCTTTTGGTGAGTGACTGTATTTCTTTGAAAATGTCTGTTAAATTGTTACAGAAGTACAATAAATATGTTTTATTAGTTGATATATATGCCATCAGAGGACAATATAATAAAATGACATTAAACTTGAAACTATCTATTTAATGGCCTTTGCCTATGCCATAATATGTCCTCCTCATCCTCAAAATTGAAAATACTAACATAGGTTGTCATATTTTTCCCAGGGAGAAATTTGTGTAATTCAGTTGTGATTTAGTACAAGAAAACAAACATTTATACAACATACTCTTGAGTCTTTAAAGAGTTAATAAAGCTTGCTCGAACATGCTATATACTTCCCAAGAGTAGCCTAAATACCTGGAGAATCAGCTTAGCTGTGTAAAAATATTTAAGCTTAACCCATATCCTTATGCTAACATATTTTATTATAATGTGAAGTAGTGTAGTATCATTTAGGCAAGTGTATCTGGTCTTGAAGAATTCATTAAGCAGCAGCTGAGTTTTCCATAAAGTCTTCTTCCCAAGGTGGCATATTTAGGCTCCATTCTCCATTGAAAATATTAACTGTGAAATTTCATGTGTAAGCAGTAAATTATCAGGACTACACAGTAGACCAATTTTAGAAATAGCTAATCAAAGCCAATAAATTTCCCATTTGGATGTGAGTATGTGGTGGTGAGATCTAATAAGGGCTATTGATAGACACTCACTGGTGCAATTTCCTGCTTCATCAGAGCGTGTAACCGAAGTGAAGACTGACATCTTCGTCACCAGTTTCGGACCCGTTTCAGACCATGATATGGTAAGTGACACTACATCTTTGGTTTTCTTGGGGTATTTTTTAAATTTAACTTTAGAAAGAAAAATATAGACTAAGTATTTGGGGAACAACTTGAAAAGGCTTGGCTGTACCTTTGTGTCTCTGTGTGTATAACATGTAATATAACATATATATAATATTTATATAATAGAAAACTACCCATTTGCTTTCCAGATCAGCCTTACTTCTATGGTTATTAATCACTGTGGTCTTCTTTTTCTCCATCCCTAAAATGATTGCTGTGCCATGGTTTATGTCCTGCAAGCCATAGAGTGTGAGTTACCTTTCATTTTAGTTAGGAGGCCATGTGGATTCAAGGATGCTAGGTTTTCAGGTAGCCAGAACTGACATAAACATTGTGATTTCTAAATTATTTTTGGCTATAAATAAGAAATGAGTATTAAAGTTGAGTGAACACTTGACCAGAATTAGAGAAATAGTTAAAATAAAATACATCAATGGGAAATGTTCTGCTTCATTGCAAAAGGCATTCATGAAATTATTACCAAGAATAGAAATAAAATGAAAACATATTCTTTCTTTCCTCAACACTAATAAATTAACATGAATTTATCTTCTAGCTGATGGGAGTTGGTAAATCAGTTGAGCTCTGCAGATATTCTATATTTCTGAACTCATAATAGCCAAGCATCTATATAAGCAAGACATCATAAAGAGGTGATGAAGACACACCATCATTAGTATATTTCAAAGATATATTAATTGAACATTATTTTTGAAATGACTTTTGTTAACATTATCTTAATGTAAAAGTCTTTTGATTTCAAAGTAGCTCAGGGTGATAGAGGATAAAAGTTACAGAAAATATGGACTTAGGGCAGCATTTCCAAAAGTGAGGAAATTCACAGTACACCTACCTTGGCAAAATAAAAGCTCTGACAATTCTTGAGCTAAGGAAAATTGTTTGACTTTATTTAGTCTAGTATTTTGTAATCGTATTTGTCCAAAACCCTTTTTGTCATTCAATACTGTTAACATTCTATAGAACTCGTATTCTGAGAATTAGACATTGGGAAATGCAGGCTTAGGGGATAATTAGATATTTTAGATCTTCAGACGAGCCATGAAATGTACTAACTAGCCAAATAAAAATTGGTGTTGTATATGAGAGACAGCAGAGTGCTAGGTAAAAACACGAGTTATTGAACCAGGTTGCCTGGATTTATAACCCCAGCTTCCCCGCATAGAAGGGCGTGTCCTTGGGGAAGTTACTAAATATCTCTCTGGATCAGTTTCTTCATGTATGAAATGGGATTAATAATAACACCCCGTAGGGTTATTACAGATATTAAATGAATCGATACATGAAACTGCATAAAACACTTCTTGGCATATAATAAGCACTCAATAAATGTTAGCAATTACTACTATGCAAAAAATAGAATATGAAAGTCAACCATAGTTTATTCATCTGACAACTTATTTTGTCATTATGGTCAGTCTGTATAGACCACTTTGTTGAAATATTGTGTGAAACAATATTTTTTGCTGAATTGATCACTCTCTGAGGTTCCATTGTGAGTCTCCCATGTTGGAAATCAGTCTTCCCACAAAACTATTCTCTCATGGTATTTTTATAATTAAGAATATTTGCTAGATCCCGGTCAGGTCTAGGGTCAAATTCTTCTCCCTATATTCCATACAATCCATAAATGATTTGGCCACTCTGCCTCACTTGTTCCCAGTATTAACTATTTGTTTTAGTTATTTGCATGAATCCTGTTTTCTATGAGGCAATGCGGCTCGGGGTTAGCTGGGCTGGCTCTCGGATTCAGGCTGGCTGAACTCAAATCTCACCACCACCAGCAGCAGGGTAGCTTTGGACACACGGCTTGAGCTTTTAAGGCTCGTGGTCTCCCAAATGTGCATATTATTATAGTTGCCTATTCCTGTAAGATTGTTATTAAATTTAAATGAGATATGTGAATAAATCGACTATCAATAGTACTCAGTAAATAATAGCTATTATTATTCTTGCCTCTGAGCCTCTTATCATGCCATGTAGACCTCCTGGGAATTTCCTCTTCTTTGCACACATCTAAATCCTATATTTCCACAGAGGCCCAAATCAAGACCCAAATGCTTGATGAAATCAATTTTTATATTACTCCAATAACAAATTAAATTTCCCTTTTTGCATTCTCATCACATTCGTTGAACATAAAATACAATTTAACTTTTCACCACATGTATAGTAACTGCTTTGTAAAGTTATTTCTCTTCTCTAAATAAATGTCTTCTTTTTCTAAATTGTTGCCAAACATTGTAAAGACATCCTTGTCTCGCATCTCGCAGAGTATCAGTCCATTGTTGGCTGAGAGTAAGTGTTGCATTACTACTTACTAGGTGGTAGGTTGAGGAGCCTATATCATTAAAATATTGAAGTCTTATGGGACCCCATAGATCACACCCTCTTTCCTATCTGAGTCCTAAACCTTTGGAGAAATAAGACAATAGAGCAAGAGACATGGGAAATGAGAATATCACCTATGTTATTAATAACGATGATATTGTAGAATGTGGTTTTTATCTGCAGACAAGTGGGTTTGCAGTGAGTAAGCCCCAGAATCAACCAGATTAACCCACCCAGTCATAGGCAGTCGGGCCTCCCTCTGCTATAGCGTAGATTGTCCACTGAAAACTTCTAGCGTGGAGAAGCACTGCAAACTTTTTCTGTCTTACTAATGGCCAGCATCCAAAATGGAAAAGACAAGAGGAAAGGACTGAAATAGGTAAGACTGAGTTCCCCTCCAAATTCACCAATCGGGTAAATTCTCCTCCCCCCTCCCCGCTTCACCAGGAGAACAGTGTGAGGGAGTGGGGAGCATTCAGAAGTTTCACACTGGTGAAGCTCTTTTCTCATTGATGCAAACATCATGAGAGGGGATGAAGCATTACAAACACCATACGCTGATAACAATACTCCTCCACTTACTGCTACTACTAATACTTTAAAAATAAAACGAAAATAGCTGTTCTATATCCGTTGCTGGCACCTAGCATGTGCCTCACAGAGTATATGTTCAATGGGCATTGTTAAGGGACAGTGCCCAAATGAAGCCACATATGATAAAAAGCTTTTCTCTTTCCTTGAAAACTTTTTGGCATGCCTTTGAGTTAGTGATTCAGACTAATAGTGATTTAATGAAGCAGTGCTGGATTTTCTTCATCTTAGGATAAAGGTGCACAGTAGGAATTCTGATACACCATCAACCCTGTGGTTATCATGACCTATATATATTATATATGATCTTTGGTCAAATATCAGATAGGAATAATGGATAGAGTATCCAAGCCAGCAGTACTCCCTATTGCCTAAAACTTCCGAACCAGATAGTGTTTGAATTGTTCTGTCGAAGAATCCAGTTAGCCATAGGTCTACAACTGATTCTCTAATGGCTAGTGGAAATTGTATCTGACCATCTTGCTTTAGAAGATTAGTCATTCAAACCATATCATGAGAGAATTGTGTCTAAGAATGAGCAGTGTGATTTAGAGGCAATCAAAATTAGAAGACAGAATGACAAAGCTGTTTTTCAAAACAGGAAAAACTCTGTCGTTTTTAAAGTGAGAACTAATACAACATCTGATTAATAATAATAATCATAACAACATTTATAAATACTTACAACTCATTAGGCACCATGCTAGTGGCTTTCTAGATAATATTTTGTCTAATCCTCATGCCAAGCCTTTTAGGTATGTGTTACTCTTATCTACAATTTCCAGAGAAGGCAAGTGACCTGCTAGCTAAGAGTAGCAACTTGAACCCAGGCCATTCATCCTGAGAGACTCCACAGCTCCCAAGACATCTGACTCCATCTGGAATAGAAAACAAAATTAGGACAACTCCACAAACCATTAATTGGCAATCAAACAGCACATTCCCAGGGCACTAGGTTCTGACAGAAATATCCAGGCAGCACAATCATAAAGCCTTGTTTTCCACAGTGCTTAAAATGTATTAAGTCAAAGCACACACAGATGGTAATAAATGGTGCAAACAGGAACACTTCAATATAATATTTATTTAGGAACACAGTGGATGTTTTGTCCTAGATCTTCAGAATAAGGCTCCTATTCTCCAGGGACCTACTCTATTGAGCAGAGTAACTCAGAGAGACTTTTCACTTGAGTGGTGGGGGCTGGAACCCTGGAACTCGAACAAATTCTTGAGCAAATTCTTCAGCAGAGCTTTCTCTCTTCCGTGGAGTCCCTTCTTTTGCTTCCTGCTTTTTTTTTTTTTTTTTGCATGTCTTGCGTCCTTCTCACTTTCCTCAGATTTCCTGCCCGACAACCCTTCCAAAGAAATAGCACGTTTTTTAAAATGCTCAGCTACATAGAAAGCTAATATAAATTTATGTTGATAAGATAATAAAAGGGGACAAATAATAATTTGTAACATTTATTAAGAGCTTTCTATTTTCTAAGCATTCTTGGAAGCTGTTTACAAGTATCAACTCTCTTCTCACAAGAGCCAAGTGGATTATCCCAGTTTATGGATTAGGAAACTGAGGTTTAGTGAGGGTAAGAAAATTACTTAAGGATGTTCAGCAGGCAGGTTTAGAACTTACAGCCATAACCACTGTGCTGGGGCTCTGCCCCTTTCCTGTTCCAACTCCCTGAAGAAGCCCGTTTTGGTCCAGGTGCCCATTCTTGGTCTAACGAACTGAACTGTGACCATGGGGACGAGGTCACGTTGTACAAGTAGCTTCTGGGAGGTGCCTGCTGCTACCATGGCAACCACACAGAGGCCGTACACAGAAGCAGGAGACCACATATTTATATTCTTGGTTAGGCAGAAGCTGATCATCACCAACTGCCTTTATTTCAGTTTTTATTTCTACTTCTAACAGAGGAGAAAATGAAAATGAAGCTAACCTAGCTAGTGTTGCTCCTTTTACATGTGTACTCTGTGTGTGTGTGTGTGTGTGTGTGTGTGTGTGTGTGTGTGCTCTATG